ACTTAAAAAAAAAAAAGAAAAAAATTAAATACAAACTCCCATACTTCTAGCGACGCTACCGCTGCTGCTCCACAATCCAACACACAAACTAGTCTTCAAAACTAAAGAATAAAAAAGAGAACTACAGATCTGAGGCCCCCGAATCTAAAACTCCAGTTCCACGAATGACTAGCCAGATCTGACAGGGAGATGCATATCGAGTCCAGATCTAAACCACAAAACCGAACTCTAGACAAAAGAGAGAGCGGAAGTCGAAACCAAAGTTCCAACCTGCCTCGCTGGGGAAAGTCGTCATCGCCGCCATCGATCCCAGCCCTTTGACCATAAAAGAGAGGCAAGGCGGACTGTCACTGCTACCGGCCCTAAGCCATGGCTAGAGAGGAGGGATTAGGAGTAGAGGGTTCCCAACATTGGCCCAGTCCATCGTCCGAGAAGAGGGGCAACCACCGCCGACAGGTGGAGAAGGGGGGGGGGGGGGGGGGGCACTTCGCGCCGACCCCCCTTTTTTTTTCTTCCGCTGAGCGTGAGGTTTTAAGAGAGAGAAAATTCTTTTTCTTTCGCTTCTGTATTCCCCGGTGTTAAGTCAACACATGTTTTATGTTGTTGTTCCATGTGTAACTAACCAAAAGAGTTCGAAATATTAGTTCAGGACATCTTTCCAAAAATCAATCCAATAATTTTGTATGTAATTATATTTTTTATAATATATGATTTATATATTTTAATAAGTTTTAATGTAACAAATGATCCAATGAATCCCCCTTTAAACAAATATACACTAACTCTTTTAATGTAACTCAACTTTTATTTTAAAAAATCAAAGCTTAATAGTGCTTCCAGTGCATCCCACGGGAAGCACTATTATTATTATTACTAAAATATTAATTTATATGTTGATTCGAAAGATGATCCATACATTTATTATTAATTACTAAATAGTATATATGATGCTTGAAATAATTTCTCACATTTATTTATGTATACTTTTAGAATACTCTTTTTAAGCAATCGAAATATAAAATATTATATGTTATCAAAATTTTATTCAATATCTATATACATACATACATACACTTTATACTTTATGAAATAACTTTACTCATTCATTGAATACTAATGTTGATTGATAAACTGAAATTTTGTCTTATATAGGAAGAAACAAATTATATGATTATTCTATATAAGAAATAAAGGTGTCAAAACCAAGATAATAAAAAGATAATTAATTGTAGAGAAATGCTATAGTTACATAATATTGTACATAGGAGTGTACATAACACTCACATTGAGTGAGACCTACCAAAAATAAAAAAATATGTGGACCTCATTCCATGTGAGTGTTATGTACACCTCTATGTACATTTATTATGTACTTGTAGCATTTTTCTTAATTGTATATATTATATATAAAATATATTAAAAAAATTATAAAGGTTTAGTAACATTGAAAAAATACCCATAATTAGTAAAAAACAAATAAGTAACTATTCAATAAACTTAAAAAAAAAAAGTAGGAAGAAAAGTAAAAAAAATGATGGATACAAATTTCTCTTACTAGAAAATAGTTTAAATTATTCACATCAAGTAATTGTTGAAAATTCTAGTCAAAGTAGTTATCAGCACGGTCTCATTTTAGGACCGCTTAAAGAATAGAGTTGTTACAAGTAGTTCAACAAAATGAAATAGTATAATAACTACATACTTGACAACCTTTTTATATACAATGTTAATAATTGTTTTTATTAGAATTTTCATCGTTAAAAATTCATATTTTTTCAATCTCATTATGATTTCTAACTATAAGAAGAGTTAAACATAGTTGACCATGGTGAAAATTGGGGTTTTGGAGATTGTGCACACACTCAAAAGTGACTAATAATCTCATTGATTATCGTACCACATGAAATCATTGTATAAAATTGTTGTATTGAAACTTGAATAGTGCCCAGGATCAAACAGTACGCCTTATTTGAGGTATCATAACCTTATTATTGACTTTCGACCCCGTTAGAAACATGCATTCCAGAACATATCTACCAAATTTAGTAATCACCGTATGGTTGTCTTTGTACAACTACATGAAATAATCTATCTTTGTAAACACCGGTATTGAAGTGTCGACCTTCAAGTGCAATTTATAATTTAAAATTACAGAGTACATAAACTCATTAAAAAATTCAAGAGTATAAATATCACGAATAAAATTAATGCCAACATCCGTTTATGTGCGCTATCAGAATTGAACTAAGTTATTCCATCACGTGCCTTCGAATGACACTAGTGTGTACCCCGTGCGATGCACGGGAATAATATTAAATTAACAATATTATAAATAGACCTCGAGTTTGAGTCACTCAACGGCGGAAGTGAAAACTACTATTGATCGTATTTAAAAAGAGAAAGAAAAAAAATAATTATAAATTAAAGATTTGGGTTCAAACAATGTAAAATTATTTGTATTAGAGAATATAAAAAAATTTGATTACACACCATTTTAAAATTATTATTATACTTTTTTGTATGGTTAGCTTATAATATTTGTAAAAATATTAGTAATTAGACCGATGAAAATTAGCTTCTTAAAGTAGATAATGGATTTTTAGTAGTAATTATGAATTGGTTTCTATTTTATTTTATTTTTTCTTTTTAAAGATAATGGATGAATTGGTTTGTATTTTATTTTATTTTTTCTTATTAAAGATAATGAATTTCTAGTAGTAATTATGAATTTATTTCTATTTTATTTTATTTTTCCAAATCTGTATAGATAAGGAGATGTATGCAATGTGATTTTGTAACAGAAGAAATAAGCTCGTGTAGATTTATAATAAAAATAGGAAAAATATGTTCGAACTCGCTGAGGTCCCGACCATTATGGCAGTATCTTCGTGGGTCCTTCGGTCATTTTGAGGTTTTGAATAAAGGTTTTCAAGAAACCGCTAGGGTTTTAGCAAAAGCAGATTATGCGCTACTAACAGAAGGACTAGGAGGCGGATACCAAGGGAAGCTCCAAAGCCAACAAAGTGTCAGTTAGGACTGGCCCGCCCTGTTTGCTTTCCTGGTTCTTAATCTAATGAACTAAACTCCTACCAAGAAGAGTAGAATAGGTAGCTGACCAGTACGTCGTTCTTCCTTCTACGCTCAAGAAAAACAAATATTTATCAAACAACGGTTTTGATAAACTAAAAAACAGGAAAAAGAAAAATAAATTTTTACACAATTAATGAACCGATTTTTTTGGCTATTCAGATTTGTCCAACAATTACTATATGTAGGATATATTTAATGATTTTGGCGGGAAAAAAGTTTCTAAATTTGTAAAAAAGTTATTCTTTTTATATAATGATAGATATGTACTCAATTGTTAAACGATTCAACGAGTTTAACTATTGAAACAAATATTGCTTTATCCATTAAATTGCCAGATCTTCGTTTTTTAATAATAATTACAGTAAGGTCCTTAGATAATATTCGAATAATGTTTCCAATAATATCTAAGGAAGAGTATTGTAATTAATTAATTTGTGATTATTCAATTTCCATATAAACTAATGTACTATAAATATCCATATTGACTACATCATCAATTTCTAACTTATTAAATTGCTTTTTCTCTCATAAACTATGTTTTTTTTTCAGTAAATTGTCATTAAATTATTTTGCAACACAACTAGAACCAAATCGTCCATTTTTAATTGAGATTGAGAACATAGAATGAGGGACCAAACATAATCTCTCCGGTTCTTTTCAGCTGCCTACAATTGTAACTTTGGTCCCTGAATCGAAGAAACGCGACTTGTTCAGCATATCGCGAAAAGCTACTTCATACTCGCTTGCGTTCAATTTACAAATATAGTGATACCTGGAAATAAAACTGACAGAGAACACAGAAAACCCAACAGCGAGGGCTCTCGTTTATTGTCAGTTGAACACAAAGAACCGAGAGAAATTTGTCCCCTTTGAGGCTTTGTTCATGTAGCTCCATTTCAGAGTTTAATTTATCTTCGGTGCTTCTTCCAGGTAACATGCATAAACCCTAATTATTGACCCTGGTTATGTGAAACATGTATATGATTTTTTCAGTGGATCGGGACATACGAAAGGGAGTAAAAACATTGAATTAGAGTGGTAAATCGATGGGCCTAAACGACGCAGCTACTGTTGTTTCTATATATTTTTTTTGTGATTTTGTGAGGATGATTATTTGTAGAGAGAAGCAACTTTATGGTGTGTGAAAGTTCACGTTTCCGGTGAAAGATCCTTTTTTTTTTCCTGTTATTGGAAAATTTTTCATACAATCTCGGGTTTAAGCTGCAAATCCAAAATGAGGTACAATTGAATGCTATAGCCGCAATTTTTTTGAATACGTGTATTGAACTAGACTGCGATTGTTTTTGGCAGAAGATTTTCTGAGGACGCCTAATTGAAGTTAGTGTGAATGTTTTGCATTTGCATGAGCTCCAATCCTCTTAAGTTTGATGGAAATGTAACCTGAAATGGCCTCTACTTGTCAACTCATTCTATTTCAGTCTGATTGATCTTATGACAGATTCCGTTTCTCTTTTTGTTTATGTTCTGCTTACAGGCGTTCACTGAATGTCGGACGACATGGCGAATTCGCAGAATGTCGAGCTGGAAGCAGCAAAGTTTTTGCATAAACTTATCCAGGAGTCCAAGGACGAACCTAATAAATTGGCGACGAAGCTTTATGTGGTGTGTGGTATTTCTTTTCATGCAATATTACTAGGCCTTGGGAGTTTTCTTGTATGACTATGCTGGTATATTTTAAGTAATTTGTCCGTTTTGCGTGGATTTGACAGATCTTGCAGCACATGAGATCTAGTGGGAAAGAAAATTCAATGCCATATCAAGTCATATCAAGGTAAATGTTGTCGGAAGATTATTGCAGCGTGTTGCATTGTGATTGGTAGATTCTTATTGTACTATTAATGTGTGAGAGAACTCCCCCTCATCTCTCTTACAAACACACTTACATATATACATTTGCTTATATTTGATATTATCGTGTGTCCTTGTGTGTACACACACCCACACACATATATATATTTATATGCGTGCATTAAATGTGTCTCTCACGTTTCTAATCATGATCCTAATGGTTCTAATCATGTTCCGTAGACCATTTCATTTTGAATATTTCCTTTTCGGAATAGAACAGTGTTGATTAAAGTTGTGAATGGGTAGGAGAGGAATATCTAGTTGCTAAGTTGATTTAATATAAAAATAGTTAAATTAGTCTGGTAGTTAGAGTTATGCGAGTGGGTGAAAAGTGAAGTTATGTAGAAGTGTGTAATAAATGATTTGGTGATATTAATTTAAAATTTACTTTATCCGGTTTGTGGGGAAAAAATTGAGAGAGTGAATAGCATAATATTTAAACCATCTTTTATAACTCTTTAAGTTTCTCAAGTTTAAAAATCTCTAAATCTGATTATTTCCAGTCACATGCTTAAACTGCAAAGGTTTTATATAGCGGAGTTATATTTAAATTTATTAAATTAATAGTTTTGATGCGTTTTTGGGTTGACATTTGAACACAGCTTACCTTGACTATAATTTAATAATTCGCTGGATTTTATTGTTTTGTGGAAATTATTTCTTGCAATTTATTATATATATATTCTATATTTTCTCTTTTTTTTTTTCTTAATTTTTTCTCCTTTTGTCTTATTTATGGTGAAGGGCTATGGAAACTGTTATCAAAGAACATAATCTCGACATTGAAAGTCTAATGTCTTCGCGTCTTCCTGTAGCATCTGGGACTCAAATTGGAGATTCTGCATCATCACAATTAGGCGGTAATTATTTAATTTTCGCTCACAGTCACTGAAAAAGGGACGTACCTAGAGACATCAAAAGTGCAAATTGGTGTGGCGGTTTCTGAACATTGTTAAGCGTTAGTGGTAGTGAAATGTATGATTGCTTTAATGTTACTACAGGGACGTCTCAGCAGGCAGGGGCTGCCAAGGACTCTAAACCAAGCTTTCAAGGCAATGAGATGGGCACATCTGGCCCATCAGGTGGTGGATCTGACTTATATCAAGGTTCTGCAGCCAATCCACATGGTAATTTTTATTTTTTATTTATTTTTTATTTTTTTTTCTAGATCACTAGGTTTTGGTTCTAAATCTACTACTTTTTTGTATCAAATTTGAGCAAATTAATGTGTGAAATATTGTTTATAGTCATGCGAAATGAAAATATCCCGATTCGACTTAAAGATAGATTTTGTTGTGATTGGGGTAACATATCAATTTTGAGCAAATTAATGTGTGAAATACTGGTTATAGTCATGCGAAATGACAATATCACGATTCGGCTTAAAGATAGATTTTGTTATGATTGGCGTATCAGAGTCAAAGAGTAGATTGATTTCTCCCAAGATCATGATCTTGCATTGGTCACTTATGTTGTTCGAAGAATATGCTTTCCTATTCCAACCGCAATTTGGTATGACCTTGTAGAAGCGGTTTCATGTCAGTGAGTCCACTTTTTCATGTTGGATACTGTAGAAATAGAATGCGTGACAGTCACTCATAAGAGTGTATAGGTGCGTATCTTTTTTATGCACCAGATTTTTTCGGATGAATCTTATCTTATTTTCATTATCTGCGCCATATGTTATGTACACTCATGGAAATCATTTGTGGTTCTACTATGATGCTGTATCAGTCGGATATAGGTTTCATTTTGTCCAATACATCTTTCCTGTAATTTCTGGTGAGATCTTCTTCATCTTCCTTGACTATTTACCCTTCTGCGACTGTTAGATGCAGATATTTAACTACTAACTACTTGAATATCTACTTTGCCTGAAAAGAGAAATTTCCATGGCTAACTTTTTTGAGCACTGTATTTAGGTGGTTCTGTTAAGGTTCTTGCTGTGGCCCCAGGCTCTTCTTATTTACCTGCAGAATCAGCTAACAAGATGCAATTTGGTAACACTCCCTTTGATAGCCAAGGTTTCACTGCAAAGACATCAAAGGACAGAAGCATGGAAGTGTTCCCTTCCATTCCGTCAGGCGATCATTCAGCTGGCAAAAGTGTAGCTGGGAAGACATTGGATCATATTGGTTCTAGCATGGTATCAAATGCAAATAAGGTAACTGGGGTAGTTCAATTGTTTTGTCTATTGTCTTGTTCATATTTTGGCATGTGGCATGTGCTCATTAACAACTCCTGCAATTCTACTCACTAAGTCTGTTAAAGTCTGTTTCTGATTTTCTGTTTATCTTGATATTTATATTTGAGTTCTCTTGGTAGGGTTATTCCCCGAGCAATCTTCCAGAACCAAACATACCTAGAGCGAGTGGTACTAGGGATACTGGGAAATCTCCTATTTCTCAGGCTTCTAGCCCAGGCCGTCTATTTAACGATCAACAGCTAAAACAGCTCAGAGCCCAGTGTCTTGTGTTTTTGGCTTTTAGGTTATGGATTTCATACACGTTATATTTTGGCTCATGTTTCTTACTAAGGAGTTCTGTATTTTCTTTGGTATTAAAACATGTTCTTCATGTGCAGAAATGGTTTGATGCCGAAAAAACTTCATCTTGATATTGCTCTTGGAAATATTTATGCCAAAGAAGGTAAACTCTTGTGCTTTGTGTGGATCCTTACTTACTCAACTGGTAAATAACATTGTGTTCTGCAGATGGATCTCGCAGAGAGTTTGTCGACCAGAGAGAGAAGGAGCAACTTATTAATGAGCCAAGTAGTGGTCCACAAGCCCTGAGGGCCCTGGAAAGACCAGATGGTGGTAAGGGTCAGTCTTCTATCTTGAATTCCTATCCATCAAAAGAAGCCGTACCTGCTAAATTGTCAGAGGAGAGAAGCAGTCTACCTGCCATTTCAGCTGAAAATGATCAGGACAGGAGAAGTTCAGTTGCAAGAGGGAAAACTGAACCTGCATTTCTTACTCACGAAGCCAAAGAATTACATGCATCTGCACAACTAGAACCATATGAACAATCAAAGTTCGAGGAGAGTGGCGGGTCTGGAAATGGATTTCCTAGTGATATTCATAAGTTGCCATTATCAACCAATTTTGGAATGAATGACGTGGGTTTATACAGAAAGGATGATGCCAAAAGTGGCACTCAAAATAATCTGGATATGAATTCTCACGGCAAGTTATATTCCGATAATAAGTTGCCGAGTATTCAAGTGAAGGACCAATGGAAGCCAGTTGCAGGAATGAGTGGCCAAAATCACCCTGCCATTCCATTAAAAGATCCCAATATAATGCTGCAAAATGTTTCACAAGGTCATTCAGATGCGTAGATATTATATATGTTTCTTTTTCTTTTTTTCTTAGAAAATCAACATATCCTGCTTTCTTCTTTCTTTAATGTACTTAATTATGTTTGTTATGTGCTCTAAAAAGGATCAAATCGTCTAGTTTTTGAATTTTGAAGGATGGAAATGATTTAGCTGATCAACTGAAAGATGATTATATGCTTAAAGTGTCAGGGGCAGATCAGGAAGAGGATTATATGTCAATATCAACTGAAAGGCAACCTTCTCCAAAACATACCACCATTGAAAGGTGGATCTTGGATCGCCAGAAGAGGAAAGTTCTTGTTGAGCAGAATTGGGCTCATAAACAGCAGAAGACAGAACAGAGAATTGCTTCTCGTTCTGAAAAGCTAAAGGTTTGGGTTTGTATTGCTCTTAGTATGTAACTTATCATGAGAGAATGAATAGCAGTAGTCGTACAAGTTTTAGTGGTAAAAGGAATGTCTAACAAATCAAATGGGAACCAAGTGTACACTGAAATTTACCATATTGCAGGAAATTGTTAGCTCTTCAGAAGATATCTCTGCAAAAACCAAAAGTGTAATTGAACTGAAAAAGCTTCAGTTGTTGGAGTTGCAGCGACGACTTCGGAGGTACTTTATCTTTCTATGCGTCGATTGACAGTCTTCTTTGGGCTGTATGTTGACCTCTGCCATTTATTTTTCTGTCGTACTCTTTTCTTCCCCTGGTATTTGTCTGGGGAATTCTGTCAGTTCTTATTAGTTCTGACTATTGTCTTCCATCTCACTGATTCAGGCATCATGCTGGCTTGTTTGTCTTTGTTTAACAACATATTATATTCTGCTGCAGTGACATCTTAAATGACTTTTGCAAACCAATAGCCACCGAAATGGATAGATTGAAATCAATTAAGAAGCACAGAATAGGTAGGAGATCGAAACAAATTGAAAGATATGAGCAGAGAATGAAGGAGGAGCGGCTGAAGAGGATTAGAGAAAAGCAGAAGGATTTCTTTAGTGAACTAGAAGTCCACAGGTATTTTTTTTCCCTGTATATCAATATCATGATTAGTAGATTAGCACAGGCTATTTATCACCTTCTTTTACCTTTTTTGATTCTCCTGGCATAGTGCTAATAATGGACTAGATCAAAATGGCTCAATTAAATTCTAGTGCTTCTTCTATTAGTGAAGTTTCTAGAAAAAAAATATATCAAACGGCGCAATGCACCTTGGGTCGCTACGGAAACAGCCTCCTTGTATAATTACAAGGGTAAGGTCTGCGTACAACTGACCCCCCAGACCCCAACCTGTTGGGAATATACTGGGTATGTTGTTGTTGTTGTTTTATCTTTTTTGATTGGTAATCTTTTATATCTTTTCATGATGGTAATTCAGAGAAAGACTGGAAGATGGGTTTAAAATTAAGAGAGAGCGCTGGAAAGGATTTAATAGACATGTGAGGGAATTCCATAAGAGGAAGGAAAGATTTCATCGCGAGAAGATAGACAGGATCCAACGTGAAAAGATTAATTTATTGAAAATTAATGATGTCGAAGGATATCTCCGCATGGTTCAGGTGCTGCACGGTCCATATTTATAAACATATTTGGAGCCCCTTTCCACCCTCTAATATTTGGGAATTGTTCATCAACTGTGCTGTAGGATGCAAAATCTGATCGGGTTAAACAACTACTGAAAGAGACTGAAAAGTATTTGCAAAAGCTTGGGTCCAAATTAAAGGATGCTAAGACAATGGCGAGACACTTTGAGAGTGACATGGACGAGAGTAAAGGGGCATTTATTGAGGAGAATGAAGATTCTGTTGAGAACGAAGATGAAAAAGATCAGGCGAAGGTTTTTTTTTGTAGATTCCTTTACATATTTTTTTGTTATGGTTTACTTGGACAGTATGTTAGATCAAGGTACTCTCTTAATCATTTACGTTCGGTTTCTGCAGCACTATTTGGAAAGCAATGAGAAGTACTACATGATGGCACATAGGTAATCTGAAAAATCTCACCCTTATTAGGGATTTATTTCATGCAATCTTTACTGAACTTTAAGTGAACTGAAAACTGCTCATGAGCTTTATTTGACTTTTACTTCCCATATTTATTATGATCACCGAGGAGATTTACTACTTCAGTGCATTTATTTACATGACACTCTTCGATCACCTCACAATGTGTTCATGCAAAAATATATTATAATTTTTGCACTTATCAGATTGTTTTTCTTTGTTTGCAGTGTAAAAGAAAACATTATTGGGCAGCCAACGTGCCTCGTGGGTGGAAAACTGAGAGAGTGAGGGTTATTTACTCTTCAATGTTTTATTTTGGTTCTCCTGCAATATGATTTTTACCATGTATTGTATTGTGACGATCAGAGTCAAATTGTATTCCTTGCACAAAATTATCATGAATATGGCATGTTCACACAATTATTTGATTCTCGAGTACTCCTCTGTTGTTTCTTTAAGGTATCAAATGAATGGACTGAGATGGTTGGTTTCACTTTATAATAACCATTTGAATGGCATACTAGCTGATGAAATGGGCTTGGGGAAAACTGTTCAGGTATGATATATGTTAGGCCGTGAGCGCATGTTTCCATGGGACTTGTGCTTTTTTTAATTATAATTTTGGATCTTCTAAAATTCTTTTTGTAGGTTATATCTCTAATTTGCTACCTAATGGAAAACAAAAATGATAGAGGACCTTTTCTAGTGGTCGTACCATCGTCTGTTCTACCTGGATGGGAGTCGGAGATCAATTTCTGGGCACCGAGCATCCACAGAATTGTTTATTCTGGTCCACCTGATGAACGTAGAAGATTATTCAAGTTAGTCTGGCCAAATCCTTCATTGTTTCTTCAGGTTTTCCTAGTTTCTATTTAATTTGAGCTGTTCGCTGTGATTTTTTTTATTGCAGGGAACACATTGTGCACCAGAAATTCAATGTTCTTTTGACAACATATGAATATTTGATGAACAAGCATGATCGACCGAAGTTAAGCAAAATCCAGTGGCATTATATCATTATTGATGAAGGGCATCGCATTAAGAATGCTTCCTGCAAGTTAAATGCTGATTTGAAACATTATCGTAGCAATCACAGATTACTTTTGACTGGAACTCCACTGCAGGTAACATGTTTGCTAGTTTTTTACCATCCTCATCAGTACGTCTCTTGGCCTGCTGGATATCTGTTTGTTAAACAGAAATAATTTATCCTGAGGTTGTTCTGTATTCTCATGTATTTACTCTTTTGTGTTATGCTTTATAAATGTTCATACCCTTGCTTGCCGATGCAGAATAATCTTGAGGAACTTTGGGCACTGCTTAACTTTTTGTTGCCAAACATCTTTAACTCATCTGATGATTTTTCTCAATGGTTCAATAAACCATTTGAGAGCAATGGTGATACTTCACCAGACGAGGTAAGTTCTGGAATGTCTTATGCTGTCAGGGTAACCGTTACTTGGTTTCTCATTATTCGGTTTCTCATTATTCTTAGCATTTTAACTGCTTAATATCACTTTCGACCAGGCTTTGCTGTCCGAAGAGGAAAATCTTTTGATCATAAACCGTCTTCACCAAGTTCTCCGACCATTTGTACTTAGAAGATTAAAGCACAAGGTACCATCCACTTATTGTAATGAGTGAAAGTTACTCATCATCTGTACTTATAAATGGTAATTAACTTCTATAAGCACGTTTCTGTATCAACATGCATACTACAATCTGTATCCACATGCACACACCATGTACCTACATGCCTTATTGGTAGAGATTTGTTCTGAAACTGAATTATCAATTGGAACTGGTCAATCTATTAGCAATCAAGAACCCAAGGGTTGTTAAATATAAAAATGCTGTCATAATTACGGCCAAATATCCTTGCATTCTATACCAAGATATATGCTGGAGCAGGTAACACTTCTGTATTCTCCACATGCTATTACATGGGGAAGAGATTATGATAGCTGTTAACTGGTGTAGAACTGCATGTCTATAGAGGTGCAAACAAGACAAAAGGGAAGCTGTGTTAGATGTTGTTTGTATGTTATTTTTTGTGTCTAATGTCCTTGATAGAAACTTTGAAATGATTACTTGTTTTTGCTACTTATTGTATTTCTTTCTTATTGAGGTTTGGAAGATAGCTGTTGCATACAATGTTATATATAGTTACTGGTTACATATATATCCAATGATTTTGAGATCTGGAAGCTAGTAGCATGTGCATGAGATAAAGAACCAATAGTGCTTACTTCAAATAATAAAAGTGCTCAGAATTATTGGAAGGATTTTATCATTTATTATGATACCAGACTTTTTGTTTATCCTGATGCTATTGAAAATTTCATTGATTTGGCAAGGTTGAGAATCAATTGCCTGAAAAGATCGAAAGACTTATTAGATGTGAAGCTTCTGCATATCAAAAGTTATTGATGAAGAGAGTCGAAGACAATCTTGGTGCAATTGGAAGTTCGAAGGTTTTCTCATGCTTCAATCTCTACAAATTAATTTTTCATTTCTGTTCCATGGCATACCTATTGTTGGACAATTTTGTTGTCTTTCCTAAACCTTGAAATTTTTTTCAGGCTCGTACTGTGCATAACTCAGTTATGGAACTGCGGAATATATGCAATCATCCATATCTAAGTCAGCTTCACGTGGAAGAGGTATTCTCTCCCTTAGTTAATTTGGGTTTTGTTGAATACTTGAATGATTGTGGAAATGAACTCGATAAATCGCAGATTAGTGGATTGAGTGTTGTAGATACCTTCTCTATAACCTTTGTGCCTATCCTTGAGGGAAGGTTTGTGCAGAAAAAATATATAGGGGAATGCTAAGGATCTCATAAAAAAAGAATGCAATAATATTATATAGTAAGTTAAAGTTGTAGAAAAAGTTTGTTGGTTGATATGGATCTACTATTTTAATTTTTCTTTTCTTTCTGGATGCATAGTGCATAAGGGGGTAATTGACAATTTATTTGCTGAAATTTTCTACTGTCTTGCTTAGGTTCATGATTTGATTCCGAAGCACTATCTTCCTAATATTGTGAGACTTTGTGGGAAGCTTGAGATGTTAGACCGGTTATTGCCCAAACTAAAGGCCACAGATCATCGGGTAGGTTTTAATATTACATTCAACATTTCTTGATTGCACATAATGTTGTTCTTTGTCAGTATTTTTACTGCGAAAACTTCTTTTCATCTTCCAATTCATAATATTTTCTGAAGACTGGATGTTTTTTTAATCTGTCCTGTACATCTTCTGCGAAAATAGTTGTGTAAATTTTTGTGGGAAGTGAGAGCTAAGAATTGGTATCTCGAGATTTGTGTGATCTCCATTTTGTAGAGACTGTCTTTCCTATTTTCCCAGATCATCAGACTATTTTTCACTTTACAGGTTCTTCTTTTCTCAACAATGACTAGATTACTTGATGTGATGGAGGACTATCTTTGCTGGAAACAATATAAATATCTCCGATTAGATGGTCATACTTCAGGGGGCGATCGTGGAGCCCTTATTGAGCAGTTCAATAATCCACATTCTCCATACTTCATATTTTTGCTCAGGTAATTATATAGTTATTACACATTTGAGCTTTGGTCCGGTAAGCCTGAAGGTATGTACTAAGGTGATGCTAGGATCATCCTTTTTGTTTTGATGTCTAGTCAAATCTGATATATATAATAATGGTGAAAGTTATGCTGGGTGGTGGCTAAAATCTTGGGAGAATCTTCGTTTGAGTTGAAATTTAACCAAATTTAGGTTTTCTGAGTAATCCTCCAACTTAGGTAAGCATGTGACAATCACTATATAGCATATTTTGTCACTATATCGGTACAATCTGGACCAGAGCACCTAAAGGATAAGGTAGGTACATTGTTTTCGGAGGTGCAATAATTAAAACGCAGGGTGTTCTATTCTGCAGAATGCTATAAAAGCTGAAAGTTAGGATCTCTTGTTTAGATTGCTGTATTTACCTTTTGTACTGACTTGTAATAATTTATGGACCAGTATCCGAGCTGGGGGTGTTGGTGTGAATCTCCAGGCTGCTGACACCGTGATTATCTTTGATACAGATTGGAATCCCCAGGCAACATCTTAATACTTTACTTCTGAGTTAATTGTTAATATTTTTAATTTTGATTGTAGGCTTAGTTTGAAATTTGTTCCTTATTGTTCAGGTTGACCTGCAAGCACAAGCTAGGGCTCATAGGATTGGGCAAAAAAAGGACGTTCTAGTGCTTCGACTAGAAACTGTAATATCTTTATCCTGAAAACCGAGTGTACCTTTTTTGATTCTTGTTAATGAAATCAAACAAATACCCAATTCATTTCGTATTTTTTCTGAGCATCTTATGTAAAATGTTTTCTTTTTTTGTTTTTTCATGTTCATTGTATAACGAAAATTCAGTCCAGCCTTTTTGTTTTGTTGCATGAAATTTAAAAGTTTGAACAGAAATCAAATGAGTAGTACTGTTGTTGAACACATTGTGGACTTAATTTGGTTTACATTTTAACTACTCTCAGTTCATTTCTTCCGACATAATATTTGCAAAGTAGGAACCAGGTAGGTAACTTGTTAAGGTTTGGAAAAGGCAGTATTTGGCAATATAGATGATACAGGTATCTGCAAGGGATGGTTATTACTGTTCTGCTGTGCTGTTCCAGTACACTGTATTTTTTTTTCTTTTTTTTTTGTTTTTAAATTTTCATCATTCAGTGAAGCTAAACTAGTAAAAATGATGTTCATATGCCTTCGGCAACTATATGTCAACCATTGCTCGAGTATTCTGAAGAGAATTATAGCGGATTGCATTTTGCTTACTTTCTCATAAATGACAGTTCTTTGTTTTTGGGTTCCATTTGCTAGTTCCCTGTTAGGAGTTAGGAGTATGAGGCATAAATATAGTATACGGTGGCACATGTATAAAATAATTTCAGTTCCTAAGTATATCCCAACACCTGATAATTGCCTGGATCTGATGAGAACTTATTTTTTCATGGATATAGCTTCCCTCTCTCTTTATATATATATTTATATATTTTCTTAGAAAAACTGTATATTTTTTTTCAATCATAACCAGGTCCAAACTGTCGAGGAACAAGTTAGAGCTTCTGCTGAGCACAAACTTGGGGTTGCTAATCAGAGTATAACTGCTGGTTTTTTCGACAATAATACAAGGTATGATCTGGTACCTGCTAAATAAAGTTGGAGTCACATATTCAGGACCATTGTCTGTGCTGAGGAAAATCATAATGTGTCAGTGCTGAGGATCGAAGAGAATACTTGGAATCTCTTCTGCGGGAGTGCAAGAAAGAGGAGGTTGCACCTGTTCTAGATGATGATTCTCTTAATGATGTTATAGCGCGCAGGTATGATTTCTCTTGTGGCGGCACTTTTTTGGTGGATGTATGTTAGGTAATAGGGTCATGAATTATGGTGTAATCCCAACATACCACAGCAAGATTTCTCATGATAAAGAGAAAAGGAATAACACGGAACTTGCCTTTCCAGCTTTCAGAAAATCTACGACGCCCAATTGCATTTGGTATTCTTGACATGCCTCATTAACCCAATTATTTCCAAACTATATATCCATATCTTGACCTACTTTTAATTGATATTGTTACCGAATTTCATCTCAGATATAATTGCACTTAAGACAATAATTTCTTTTTATTCAAATATGCCTTTCTCCTTATCCTCCCTGAACTAACATCTCTTGGGAATCAAAAACCACCAGTCACCTTTGTACCTTCACCTTTGTACCTTAACTTCAATCAAGTTTAATGTCTTCTGTCCCGCCAAGATTCTCATTTCATTTATTTTAAAAACTAAAATATTTTCTACCATCATCAATTCAATGAAAATTATTTTCACTTGGGTAATGCTTGTTTTTCCTCTTAGATTTTATTGTAATCTTGTTCAATGCATAGTATTAGGCATACGATACGATATTTTTCTTTAACAAGTCAGTTTCTCTTTTTTGCGTATGGCAGTCCCGCCGTCTTTTTTATGTTATGTCGTCTAGTTAGTTAATAATGACAACTTATCTGCAGTGAGGCAGAAATTGATATTTTTGAGTCAGTTGATAAAGAGAGGCGAGCACAAGAAATGGTACCCACCAAATCCTATTATTTTTTGCTTTACTCCTGTTGGTATGCCTGAGCTGTGGCAGTGCTCATTTCTTGTCATTTCTTGTGCAGGTTGCATGGAAAAATATGTTTGGAGGAGATGGTTTGGAGAAACCTGAGCAGATTCCACCTCTGCCTTCTCGACTTTTAACTGAAGATGACTTAAAATCATTTTACGAGGTCATGAAGATCTCCGAAACACCGACACCTAGCGTAGTACCTAACCCTGGAGTGAAGAGGAAGAGTGGGTCTATAGGAGGCCTCGATACCCAACAATATGGAAGAGGCAAACGTGCTAGGGAGGTTTGTTAAATATGATTTCACACTCTCGCATTCGTTTGTCCTTATTGTAGATACATTCACGTTTATTCTCCTCTGATTTTTGCTATCATATTTCATGTCCACTCCTTTAGGTGCGCTCTTACGAAGAGCAAATGACAGAGGAAGAATTCGAAAGAATGTGCGCATTCGAGTCTCCAGATTCCCCCATAGTGAAGCAAGAAACCACTGGGCAAACATCGGTGGCTGTTGCCTCAAGCAGCCCGACTTTGGTCATGGGTGGGACGCAAGCACTGGCAGCACCTCAACTTCTTCAACATCCAAAAGTCGAGCCTAATACGACTCTGCAAAGCAAAGCGGTTGCCCCTATGCCTGCGCCTACGCCTACTCCTCCATCTAAAAGGGGACGTGGGAGGCCGAAAAGGGTCGTGGTTGAACCCTCCCCACCGCCTCCATGTCCTCTGCCTTTGGGGTTCGAAAAACCAGAGGAGGTCCCCAAGGTTGAAACTAAGCCTGTGGAACCTGGCCTGAGTTCTTTACCTAGCAATACGACTTATGTTAGCAGTGTCAGTGATGTCGGTGTGCAAGATTCAAAAATGATTCCTACTACTGCAACTAACTCCGTGCCAGCTATTCCTCCTCCAGTCACACTCACAGTCACGCCTGTCTCCCAAATTACTCCTGTTTTATCCACATCGTCTGGGCGGGGCAGAGGACGGGGTCGAAAATCCCAAACAGTTGGAGAAACTCCTACTTCAAGGCGCCGAGGAAAAATACAGCCCGTAACATTACAACCTGTCCCAGTGACGCCTTCTGTCGCTAGTGATAAACTCCCCATAGGAGACATTACTCCTAGCTCGTCTTATCCTGCAAGCACTAGTGCCGTTCAAGTGGACTCCGTTGTTAAAGAAGTTGCCAGTGAATTGAGTTCAGCTTCACCTGTTTCTGTGGCACCATTGGCTGCGCCTGCTTCTGTGGTTCCCACAACTTCAGGCTTAAGTCCAGTTGGCGTGAAGTCACAGCTAGGGGTCCAGCCTGGTTCTGTAGTGGCTTCTGCTCATGTTTCTACAGTTCCGGTGTTGGTGGCGAGTGCTAATCAGCCAAGTTCCACCATCGTGTCAACATCAAGTCCTCAAGCTGGCACTTCAGTAGTCCCTGGTGTTCTTGTTGCACCATTTCCTTCTCCCTCTGTAACAGGGCAAGGGCGAGGCCGTGGCCGAGGCCGAGGGCGAGGACGTGGCCGAGGTCGAGGGCTTAATACTGCTCCTAGTCAAGAAGAGACGACGCCACTCCAGCGTAGGCGAAGGAGGCAGGAGCCTGCAGTGTCCGTTGTTCCTGGTGCAGCAACTGGTCAGGACTTGGCATCGAGTGAACCTCCACAGAAAAGAACTCGAGCGTCTGGTGGGCGGAAGGACGTCACAGTAAGTGAGAGGGATCAACAATCGACAATCGCAAGTCAAAATATTGGAGGTCCTGCTGCTGATGACCAAGTTCCAAAAGGTTCGGATTCACTCTATTAGAGTAGACGTACATGGTTTGTGATTTCTGTAAGGGAATTTTGGATGCTCTGTGATATATGCCAAAATTAATTTATTTGTCATTGCCAAAAAAATCTGGTTTTGTTCATTACGCGTATGAATCATTTCTTTGACCGCAAGGGGAAGGGAAAATGAGAGTTTGAGTAGGAAGGCGAAGGAGGAGCTTAGTTTACATGGGGGAGCTTTGGTCAGGATTTGTCCTAGAGTTGGGTGTTCCCAAATGGAAGTAGATTTGTAATTGTTATCTGTATATGGAGGGAGAATCATCAGGGCTCATTTGGATATGATTTTCTTTTTCGTCTTTCTTTTTCCATTTCCGCTCCACTGGAGTAGCTTTTTAACCAAAGATGCATCTTCGGGAAATACACTATTCACTCACTTGCCACTTGTTAGGTATCCTTAACCAGTTGCAGTGCCTGTACATTTTTTTTTTCTTTTATCATGTGCACATTTCCTATCAGCTTTTTATTGAATTGTCTTCAATTGTCTGCTACAGGTAAAGTCATGGGTGAAGAAAAGTTTGCGGATCCTCCCCAAGAGCGAACTAAAAATGGAAAAGAAGAGAAGAACCCTGCCAATGTGATAAATTCCAACTTTACTGATGGTTTGCCACCAGTGTTGAACTCGAATTCACCAGCTAAAGAATCTATTAACAAGCAAGTGTCCGTTAGCGATGATCCTTGTGGGGATGGTTCTCTTGTTTCAGTCCCCGTGGTGTTTGGAAGTGATATTGAACATAGAACATCTGAAGACTCACAATCTTTACTACTAATGAATAGCAGCTCTATTGTGATGGATAAAGAGCAAGTTCCTGATAAATCTACTGTTGAGGCTGCAGCTACACCCGGATCAATGCCTATTGCTGGTGAAAATGAAGATGGAAAGATTGATGTACTTGTGAAAAGCACAAATATGGATGAACTTCCAGCATCAGATAATTTGTTGAAGAGCTCAACTGATCAAGTTTCCTCTAGCTCAATCCCTGAATTATTTGATAGGGAAAAGACTCCAGTTGCAGCTGAAGTTTCCCAGAGCAACCCTGTTGAGGCGGCCAATGGGCAGGTTCTGCTTGGATCAATGCCTTTACCTGTTGAGACAGGCCAGTGTGCATCTTCTTGTGTAAAGGAAGGGGACAAAATTGTTGAGTCTTCTCAAAGGCCTAATCTGGATGAACCTTCAGCTTTGGTCAATAACTCTTCCAAGATGGCAAAAAACATTGATAATGAATCTGGAGAAGAAGTGCAAAAGGATGAGCATGAAAACAAGGCAACTAAAGTTGAGGCACCTGTTTCGACTGCTGCTGAACTTGATGTGAATATTTCTGCTGTGGCCACCTGCCCCGATCCTCCTGGCAGTGTTACAAAGGAAGTATGCAGTGAACCGAATTCAGATTCACTCAATGCTTTGGCATCATCTGCTTCTGGCAATGTTGATGTTGGGTCACAAGGAGCCTTGGCTAGTCCTTCAGAAACTGGTATGGTAGCTGTGGGAAGTGTCGATCAGCCAGAATCAACTCTCAAAGCAGTAGATCAAGATATTGTAGAATCAACACCCAAAGCAGTAGATCAAGATATTTCAGATTCAACACTCAAAGCTGTAGATCAAGATGCAGAATCAGCACCGAAAGCAGTAGATCAGGATGTTGCAGCTCTTGATGTGGAGCCTCTGGTTAAAGGTAGAGTAGTTCCATCTGCAGTTTAAATATTTTTTTAGGTCCAGGCTATGCCTTTTATGATTTTGGCTTTTAGAATGATATTATAAATACAATTAATTGTAGCAGGCAAGGATCAAAGCGTTGAAGTCCCCGCAGCAAAACCTTCTGATACATTGCCATCATCCTCGACTTTGAATCCAACAGTCGTAGCCTCTATCTCTCTGGATTTCAATTCAGGTACTCAGTCAACGGGACGAGGCGGAGAATCTAATGATAATGATAAGGCCTGTGGGAATGATAGTTCGTTAGCATCAACTCCTATGGTATCAGCAAGTGATAGCTTCGCGGCATCCGAAGATTCTCAATCTTTACATGCAGGGGACAAATCTGTTGAGGTTGTAAAAGAGCGAGGTTCAAATGAAGCTACTTCTGAGGCCGCAGAACATGAATCAACGTCTCCTGCTGGTGAGAGTGCTATATTAGGGCCTCTCTCCCATTAATGGGAAAATGAAAAAAAATATTGTTATTTTATTATTTTTGCATATGGTCTTATGTGTTTATTTCCTTGTTCCAGATAATTTATTACAGGGAGCCACTGATAACGTGGTGCCACATCAAGGAGTTTTAAATGACATTGCTTCTAGTGGTGCTATTACTGGTCCTGTGGCTGTGGAGAGTGTTGACGTGCCAGATTCTGGCATTGTGCCTTCCGAGAGTGCTCAAGTTACCGATCAAGATGACATGGTTTCTAGTGATGCTATTACTAATCCTGTGGCCGTGGAGAGTGTTGATGTGCCAGATTCTGGCGTTGTGCCCTCCGAGAGTGCTGAAGCCGCTCCAGATATTGTGCTTGCTTCTGTGGATCAAGCTCCCAAGGGTAAAGTGTTGCTCTTAATTTAAGTGATTTTAGGTCTGTACTATACTAATCATGTCTGAAGCGGATTGTAGCATCTAGCATGATTAAATTCCCAACAATTTGTTTGTTAAATGTACTGAAATATTGTGCAACTAATTATTACCCGTGTATGAATAAGTGATGATTCGATTCCAAGCACTTGCTTCTTTTCAACTGGATGAAGTTTCGAATTTCATAACTAAAACTCATGGCCAAAAATATTTCTCTGATACAGATACCGACATCGACAAACCAAACAAATCGGACGATTCTTATCCGGAACAAGATGTGAATGGAGAAGAAGGCAAGGGACTCGCCGATTCTAAATTATCCGAATGCTTGACTCTCGAGGACTCCAAGGCACCTGAAAATCCATCTGAAGACATGCCTGGGAAGGAATCTGGGAAGTCACCTGCTGAGGAACAGGCTGAAAAAGAAAATGAAGAAATTGTGCGTCCAAATGATCCGTCTGACGTGGCAGAAAATATCCTGTCCGATGCGCCTGTGGATGCATCTACAGTCGAAAAAGTAGGTGGAGAGCAAAACTGTGGTGAGGGAGACAAGGATGATAAAGGAGGCATGGATTTGAAGTCCGAATCAGATGAAACTCCGGTTGTGTTGGAAGAGTCTGTGAATCGTGAGGAGGTGCAGCCCCAAACAACTGGGAGTGGAGATTAGAGTGTGGTTGTTAGCCTTTTACTAGTGTTTATGTGTATTAATATATATGTTTGTGTGTGGAAATCTTTTTTTTTTTTTTGGGTTGTGCTACTTAGTATGGTAATGCCAATTGACTGGGTATGGCGAAACTTGTGGGAAGCTATTTTGTACTTATGCCATTTATATAGGCTATTTAGATAATAAAATAGGATTGTGACAGCAGCTAAGTTTGCGTTTGACCTACTCTGATCTTTTCACTATATTTACTGTTTAATTTACCAGTTCTTACACAACCTTCTCGCCAAACCCCTCGTTCAACGTGTAGCAGTGCACGTACTCCGCAGCTATATAATAGCAACACGAAAGCGCGATTTCGTACAGAAGAATCCTTTTTTCGGCACTAGCTGGATTATTATGCATGGACACAAGGTCCAATCCAAGCAAAGCCGTACAGAAGAATCCTTTTTTCGACACTAGCTGGATTATGCATGGACACAAGGTCCAATCCAAGCAAAGCCGTACAGAAGAATCCTTTTTTCGACACTAGCTGGATTATGCATGGACACAAGGTCCAATCCAAGCAAAGCCGAAGTGTAGAGCAAGTATGAATTAGTCTTTTAGTCATCAACGGTCAACATCAATTCAAAATTAACTTTATCATCTAGCAATTTAATTACCAATATTTTGAGTTATTTCTAACAACCATACTAACGGTGCGTTTAGATGTTGGCGTTTCTTCTAAATTTTAGCATTTTGGACCACTTCAGCTTTCTTCAGTTTATATATCGGCGTTTTTGCTAAATTTAGCATTTTGGACCACTTCAGCTTTTCTAAAAATTTGATTAAACTGTTTGGTAAATGAGCATGCGTTAATATAGATGGTATTGTCTATAAGACTATAACGATGGTTTAAAAGAAAAACTTTCTCAAGATGTTTACTCATTCACTTGAAATTTTCAAAATATTTCGATTGAGCTTGCAAATTCACTCATTGAATAAATAAAGAGTTGAATTAGATAAGTAATTGATTAGAACCCCTGCATTCTCCCCTTTTCCCCAATTCCAAAAAAGCAGAAAACACTAATCGGCGGCGGGCCTTTGTTGAGTATGGCAGGATTTCTTTGCTTTGCATTTCTTGTTTTCTGATGTTTGTTTTTTTACTGAAGACATAACTCTCACTTATAGAGTTGTTAGTGCGTCTTTTATATTTTCCGATTTATTTCTCTTTTGTTTGTGACTGCTACGTGTAAGCTTGGGATTGGTTCTTAGGTCATGAGTATCACATGCTCGTATTCTTCATTGTATTTTCGTACTGAGCTCTCAGCTCATTTTTTTGGATAAATGAAAATATCTAGAAAATTCCCAAATTGATTTTTACATTCTTATCGAAAATGGTTCAAACATCCTGAATTTACATGGTACCAGAGCGGGTTATTGTTTGATCGATGGCGCGCAACAGAGAGGAGCTAGGAAAGGAGATCGTTGGAAAGTATAGTTACTCGAGAGACATCGATCCTCTGTCACTTCATGGATCTGATCATCCAGGAATGGTGCTCGTTACTACTCAGCTCAACGGATCTAACTATCTACATTGGAGCCGAGCGGTGAAGCTAGCTTTGACAGCAAAATCAAAACTCGGTTTCATTTTTGGAACAATCGAAGTACCCGAGCCTAACACCGAGGAATATGAGCTTTTTCAGAAGGTAGAATCTATGGTAATTTCTTGGCTTCTCAATACGATTTCGAGAGATATAGTTGAAGCATTTATATATGTGAGAAGTGCAAAAGAATTGTGGGATGAACTTGCTGAACGGTATGGTGAGAGTAATGGTCCTTTAAAATACCAACTCCAGAAAGATATAGCAACATTTGCTCAAGGTACAGCATCGGTGACTATTTATTACACGAAATTGAAGTGTTTATGGGATGAATATGCAAATCTGATTTCTTTGCCTGAATGCACATGTGGCTTGGGGAAGAAAATTAATGAGAATGATATGGAAATAAAATTAATGCAGTTCCTTATGGGGTTAAACGAGGTTTTTGAGCCTGTCAAAAATCAAATACTCCTTATGGATCCCTTACCAACCATTAATAGAGCATATTCTATGATTCTGAAAGTTGAAAAGCAAAGGACTGTAGGTTTTGGCACAATTGACCCCTTGGAAAGCTCAGCTATGATGGCTAAAGGGAGTTATGAGAGAGGAGGTATAAGAAACACGGGATATGGAAGAGGAAATGATAACAGGAGTTTCTCTGGTCAAAGCTACAATAATGTAGGTCGGGGAAGAGGAAATCAAAGGATGACCAAGGAAGAAAGAGCAAAGCTGTTTTGTACTCACTGTGGGTATAATGGACATGAAATTCAAGGCTGTTTTAAGTTGAATGGTTATCCGGAGTGGTACAAAGAACTGAAGGGACAAAGGCCAAGTCATAATGCAAACTTGGCAGACAGTGAGGATATGACCAAAAGTGGAGATTCTGATGAGAAGTCACAACACAGTGACTCATTGACAGATATTAGTTCAATTGTTCAAAAGGAGGTAGACAGATACTTGGCCAGGAAACAAGATCGTGAGAATCACTCTTTCTCACACTTTGTTGAATATACAGGGAATTTTGAAGATTATGCATTCAGTTTGCTGAATTCACTTGAGAAAGGCAGTTGGATCATCGATACCGGGGCTAGCAGGCATATATGCTCAGATGATGACTTGATCATTGACTCCTTTAATATATCAGTTCCAGTCACGGTTAATCTACCAGATGGTTCTAAGATTAAGGTGAATAAGGTTGGGAAGGTAAGAATAAATGATCAGATTATACTGATGAATGTCTTATTGATTCCAGATTTTAAGTACAACTTATTGTCAGTGGGACAATTGGTTGCAGACTATGGGATGAACTTTGAATTCACTAATCAAAAGTGTCAGCTAATAGACCCTGTAAAAAATGTTATCCTGTTGGTTGGTAGACAACTTGGTGGATTATATGTGTTGGACACAACTCAGAGCTCTGTTAATGCAGTTGTGAAAGATGGAGATAAGGAAGCTGAGATGGAACTTTGGCACAAGAGGCTGGGACATAGCTCTTATTCTTGCATGAAGCATATTCATTTCTTGAAGTCTGATAACCCGAGAAAAGGATTGAAAGCTTGTGACATATGTCATAAAGGGAAACAAAGTAGACTCACATTTCCTCAAAGTGAAATACAGACCAAGAGTAAGTTTGACCTAGTTCACATGGATGTGTGGGGACCCCATCTCGAAGAATCTGTAACCAACACAAAATACATGTTGACCATAGTTGATGACTTTACAAGAGGAACCTGGATATTCTTGATGAAGCAAAAATCAGAAACCTACAAGCACATTGAGTTCTTCATCAAGATGGTGGAAGTTCAATTTGGATGTCAAGTGAAACAGATAAGATCAGACAATGGCAGTGAGTTCATTAACAAAGCTGTAGGAGATTTGCTGAAGAAAAATGGTATTTTACACCAGAGATCATGTCCTTACACTTCACAACAAAATGGTGTTGTCGAAAGGAAGCACAGGTTTATATTGGAGGTGGCAAGGTGCTTATCATTCCAGGCAAATTTGAAAAGAGAGTTGTGGCCATATAGTTTGTTGGCAGCTGTGCAAATAATCAACTGTTTACCTAGTGAAAAGCTTGGGTGGCATAGTCCTTTTCAATTGCTGCATGGGAACACACCTTCATATCAGAGGTTCAAAGTTTTTGGGTGTTTGTGTTATGCTGCAAAAGTGGGGCCACATAGAAAGAAATTTGACTTTAGGGCTGTTCCATGTGTATTTCTTGGATATGTGACAGGAGTAAAGGGTTATAGGGTATACAACCTTGAAACTAAAGACATTTTCATTTCAAGGGATGTATTATTTTATGAGGAGCAGTTTCCTTTTCATAAGGATATTACACAGACAGATTCCATTCCTTTACCTATTGTTGAAGAAGAGGTATTAGAAGATAGTGATTACTCAAGGGAACCTCCTGATAAGGCAACAGAGACTGAGTGCCTAAGAACTGAGGAAAGCAGGAGCAAGAGAATTAGAAGACCACCTGTGTGGTTTGCAGATTATGAAGTGAACTCCATAAATGAGAATGTGAATTATTTGGATGTAAAATCTTTTTTGGCTGAGATAGACAAAGATGCCTCAGAACCTTTATTCTATGAACAGGCAATCAAAGATGATAGATGGGTTGATGCAATGAGGAAGGAGCTGACTGCTTTGGACACTAATGAAACTTGGGAACTTACCAAGCTGCCATTTGGGAAGAAAGCTATTGGGTCAAAGTGGGTGTATAAAATAAAAAGACATCCAAATGGGAGTATAGACAAATTTAAGGCTCGATTGGTGGCCAAAGGTTACTTGCAAAAGGAAGGGGTGGATTTTTTTGATAGTTTCTCTCCAGTAGCCAAATTGGTGACAGTGAGATTTACTATTGCTCTGGCCACTCAATATCATCTGGAGATGCACCACATTGATATCAACAATGCATTTTTACATGGTTACTTGGAGGAGGAGGTTTACATGTTACCTCCTAAAGGCTATGAGAAGGCAAAGAAGGGTGATGTGTGTTTGCTCAAAAAGAGTTTGTATGGATTGAAGCAAGCTTCTCGGCAATGGAACATTGAATTTTCGGAGAAACTTTTGGCTTATGGGTTTGTTCAATCCAGTCATGATCACTGTCTCTTCATCAAAATGACAGATGGTGAATTTTTGGCCCTATTAATCTATGTTGATGATGTGCTCATCATTGGAAATTCCTTGAATGCTATTGATCACTTGAAGTCTTATCTGCATGGCTTATTCACCATTAAGGATTTAGGCCCTGCAAAATATTTCTTGGGGCTAGAAATCAGCAGGGACACACAAGGAACCTTCTTGAATAAGAGAAAATACATCATTGATATCATCCATGATTTGGGGCTGCAGGATTCCAAGAGTGCAGTAACACCTCTGCCACAAGGACATAATCTCTCTAGCCAAGAATCTGGTATCTTCCCGCAGCCTGAGATGTACAGGAGATTGGTTGGTCGCCTACTCTATCTCAATCTTTCTCGGCCCGATATTTCTTTTGCCATACAGCAGCTCAGCCAGTTTGTTCATGCTCCAACAACAGCCCACTGGACGGCTGCACTTCATGTGGTTCGATATCTTAAGGGTTGTCCTCAGTTAGGTTTTCATTATAGAGCTCATCCTTCATCACATCTTGAAGCCTTCTGTGACTCAGACTGGGGAAGTTGCATTCTCACTCGAAAATCATTAACCGGCTATTGTATTTTCCTTGGAGATGCTCTGATTTCCTGGAAGACGAAGAAACAGAAGACCGTTTCTCGATCCTCAGCCGAAGCAGAATATAGGTCCATGGCCTCTACAGTGTGTGAGCTGCAGTGGATCTCCTATCTTGCTCACGATTTGGGAGTTCCAATTTCTCGGCCTGATTCTTTGTGGTGTGACAACAAAGCTGCAATTCACATCACAGCTAACCCCGTTTTTCACGAACGAACCAAGCATTTGGACATTGATTGTCATGTAGTGCGTAATAAATACAAAGACGGATTCATCTTGCCCAAGCATATCCCTACTTCCTCACAACCTGCTGACCTGTTTACCAAGTCTTTGGGAGGCCCTGATTTTCGGCGCTTTCTTGTCAAGTTGGGCATGTGCATTCCCCACATTCCCACTTGAGGGGGGGGGGGGGGGCCTTTGTTGAGTATGGCAGGATTTCTTTGCTTTGCATTTCTTGTTTTCAGATGTTTGTTTTTTTATTGAAGACATAACTCTCACTTATAGAGTTGTTAGTGCGTCTTTTATATTTTCCGATTTATTTCTCTTTTGTTTGTGACTGCTACGTGTAAGCTTGGGATTGGTTCTTAGGTCATGAGTATCACGTGCTCGTATTCTTCATTGTATTTTTGTACTGAGCTCTCAGCTCATTTTTTTGGATAAATGAAAATATCTAGAAAATTCCCAAATTGATTTTTACATTCTTATCGAAAATGGTTCAAACATCCTGAATTTACAGCCTTCTCCCTTCGGTGGGGCCGAAGTACCGGTTGCGTGCGGCTTGGTGGGTTGCCGTCTCCCCCAGCTCCCCTGGATCTCTCGCTTAGATCTGTAACTGCTTCAGATCGGGTGGTGACTTCCTGGGTTGGGTTTTGTCTTTGATCTTGTTTTAGATAGCCGATAGTGGTGTTTCTAGAACCTTGTGTTTGGTCGGAATTCGATCCTGTTTGGGTGGTTGCTTTCGATGTCGGCTCGCTTAATGCTTAAGAGTGGCTCTGCCACTGAAGGAGAGAGCTTTAATTTAGCTATTAGTAGTTTTTGCCCCATGTCTTGTGTGCTTTGTTTATTTTCTATCCTTTTTGGAGTGTGCTGTTTAAATTCTCAGGAGTTTAGGTTTTCTCTTGTTGGGATCTTGTTAGTGCCTAGGCGACCTTGGCCTTCCACTAGATTCGGCTCAATAGCTGCTTTAGTCAATTGTTTGGCTAGTTTCTAGATGTATTTATGTATTTTATCTATAAAATGTCCTCTCGTTCTAAAAAAAGAAAGAGCTTGAATTGGATTTGATCGGATGACACCTACGAAATTGACGTGCGTGATGTGGCCTGTTTCTTTATCTAATGTGGAGCGATTGTGGTTTACATGGAGAGATTAGAGAAGGCGCGAAAGTTATGAGATTTTGCCCACAAATCTGCAACCTAAATCGACAGATTCATTCCCAATTCCTAAAACCTAAAACGTTAAAGGGTGCAAAAAGACTTAAATATTCGACTCTCAATTTCCTGACATTTCACAGAATCAATTTTTTTTTTTTTTTAAGATAGTGAGGAAAAAGTGAAATCCTTTAAGGATAAGTCTAAAATAGTGAAGGAGATTTCTCAATTGAAGGAGACATCTGAACAATTGAAGGAGAAATCACAATCGGTGAAGGAGACCTCTCAATCTCAACCAGTGAAGCAGCAATCTGAACCTCCATTGAATGAGAAATCGCAATCGGTGAATGAGACCTCTCAATCTCAACCAGTAAAAAGACCACCTTAAAAACTATTGCCAAAGAAAAAGTAGACAAAAAGGCAAATAATAAAGAATGACATTTAGTTTAGTAGCATATTGTTGTTTCTACAGTTACAAACTAAAGATTAATATTTGCAATGGCGATTCTAACAATAAACTCAGTTCGCTCGCCTACAACTAATGTTATATATATATATATCAAATGTCCAATAAGTGACATTATTAAGAGCACCACAATGCATTGAGTCTCCTAAAAAAATATGATATGCCATATAGGAAATAGACTTAGTCTATAAAAAATGTTGGGAAAAAATCTTTTTCACCCCAATACAAAGATACATTAAGTTTTTCACACTGCCCACTAACAATCTAACTTTTTCACCCTGGAAAGTGCGAAGGACTGCATAACTATCGCATATCAATTGCATAACTGTCGCATATTCATCGCGCAATGCCTTCGCACTTTAACTTTTTCCACCCCAGAAAGTGCGAAGGGATATGCGAATGCCTTCGCACTTTTAACTTTCGCACAATGTAATCGCGCAACTATCGCATATTCATCGCACAATGCATTTGCACTTTAACTTTTTCCACCCCCAGAAAGTGCGAAGGGATATGCGAATGCTTTCGCTCTTCTAACTTTCGCACAATGTCATTGCGCAACTATCGCATATTTATCGCACAATGTCTTTCGCACTTTCTGGGGTGAAAAACTTAGCTTTTTATTGGGCGGTGTGAAAAATTTAGCATGACTTCAAAATGGGGTGAAAATAACTATTTTCACAAAAATGTTTCCCAATGTAATTTAAAGTTGACATGGTCTATCTTATGTGCTAATCAAGAAAAAGAGACCAAGTCCACTTTTGGGTCTATTTTGGATCCAAGTACAAATCTGAGTAGTCAACATTTATTCCTAATTTAATTTTTCTTTTAATATGGTAAACATATTAGAATATTTTTATTGGTTGACAAATATACTAGACCTAATATTTTATTTTTGTATTGAATAACTTTTGAATTTTATTTATTTAAGTCTGTCCATGTCATTATGAACTTAAATCAATTTATATGCTGTACATATGTAAAATTAGGCCCAATGCAATGTGAGTGCTCTTATAAATAAATTACCCTTTAATTAATCAATACATTTAATATCAAACCGAAACGCGTGGATGCCGTACTAGTAAAAATTGTACTAAAAATTGTGTGGCGCACAAATAATTGAAAAAGAAAATCAATAAAAAATAGAGATGAGAACCACAGCGTCAAAGTTTGAAAAATATCTTGAAAAACACATTTATTATTAAATATTTGTGGAAGAATTATTATTGATTTATTTTCCTGAAAAACACATATATTAAATATTTATAGAAGAATTATTATTGATTTATTTTCCTAGGTCAGCTCAGGCATTTGCTACTATAAAAATCACAAATCAGCCAATACTGTTTGCCCTCTTTCCCAACTCCTCTCCTCCCCATTATCATTTGCCTTTCCGAGTTTCGAGGCGAGCGCATCGCAGGTAAAATAAAAATTCAGTCCGAATTTTTCAAGGAAATAATCGTCGCTCTAGTTTCTTTTTGTTGATAAATTGTGTGATTGTCTTTTGGTTGTAATTTACTTTAATTTTCTGGGATCTTGCATGATTCTCGATTTTTGTATGATCGCGATCCATTTCTCTCTCTAAGTTTGCTCGGTTTATTTTGTTTATTGTCCTCAGTTGATTTGGGTATATAATTGTTATTGTTGCTCGTCCTCGTTATTTAGATCCGTAAATAGGTTTGAGTTTCTGCATACTAACAACTGAAGGTGTGGACTCATTTAGATCTGTATTTTCTAGATCTAGGCGCACTGATTATTATTATTTCTTTTCATTTTGTGTATGATTGATTGGGATCTACGTAGATCTGATAAATGTATGTAAGGGCTTAGTCCTTATGGTTGTGGGTCATGTTCTTTATGCAATAATGTTTTGGATCTTTTCGGAACCAGGTGATTTGGGCCGTTTTTGTTTATTTCTCTCGAAATGTTTCATCTTGTGGCTGCAAATTATTATGAGCATTTGCCTGTTAGCTTGTTTATTTGTTCTTTGGCACTTGTGATCTAATTTATATCTCGGTTACCGAGCATTTCTAATATGTTGCCAAAAACTGTTCTTATTTGTTCTGTCTAGAGAAATAAAAAAATGTATGCTGATTGTTGGGATAAGTAGTAGCCTAAGACATGGTCTTATTGTTTGGATTAATGTGGTTTAGCAGACAGTAAGAGACAGGTATTTCATGTGTGGTATTGATTTGAGATTGATTTTTAGACTGGAATGCCTTAAATTTTGCCAAGTATAGTGCCATTCATATATTATTTTGTTTTCATCTGTTATGTTGTTCAACCAGATCATAGTGAAAGATTTATTCCACGTAAGAGTACTTATCCTTCTGATTTGGTTCCTGAAATTTGACATGTTAGTGGTGTTTACTTATAATTTATCCAGTGACGTGTGTCTTCATTGGATGGGATTTAGGGGTCTGATATTGTATTTTGTATCAATGATATTGGTATTTTCACATAGCTGTTTGCAAACAGCGTTGTTTAATTCTTCTTGAAAATGTTAGTTTTAAAGTCATTCTAGGTTCACATTTATTATGTTTAGTCACTCCATTTCTGGAACCAACAACCTTCCACCACCAGAATCTCTCTCTGAACCTAATCTTTACTGACGTAGTATTAACAACTGCAGTTGTTCTTGAGCATGCTTTACAACACCTGTTGTGTACCTGACCAACATTTTTTTTTGCCCGCAGGACTCATTATACAGTTTTATAAATGGAAGATCAATACCGATACCCGACCATTGCCCAGAAGGTAGCCAGCCAGCTACATCTCAGCTCCAGTCTCTCTCAGGATGCCCAGACGCGCTATGGAGCCTTCCCAAGGCCTGCTGTGTGCCAGAGGAAGTTTTCGTACGGAAATTACACAAACGCAGGGTTGCAGTATCCTTTCACCTGTAGAGCCACCCAGGATCTCTCCTTGATTTCTGCGAATGCCTCGCCAGTTTTTGTTCAGGCTCCCCAAGAAAAGGGTTTTGCCAGCTTTGCTATTGACTTTCTCATGGGAGGTGTTTCTGCTGCTGTATCAAAGACGGCAGCTGCCCCCATTGAGCGTGTGAAGCTTTTGATCCAAAACCAAGATGAGATGATCAAGGCTGGTAGACTCTCTGAGCCGTACAAGGGCATTGGAGACTGTTTCAAGAGAACGGTTCAGGATGAAGGATTCGGGTCATTGTGGAGAGGAAACACCGCAAATGTTATCCGTTATTTCCCCACTCAGGTCAACCTAACATCCCATCCCCTTAATGCTTGAATATTTTCCCTCAGCGGGGAACTTTTTATTATGCTTTACTAACCATTTACTGCATTTTTTTTTTTCACAGGCATTGAACTTTGCATTCAAGGACTACTTCAAGAGGCTCTTCAACTTCAAGAAGGACCGTGATGGCTACTGGAAGTGGTTTGCCGGCAACCTCGCATCTGGTGGTGCCGCCGGTGCTTCTTCGTTGCTGTTTGTTTACTCGTTGGATTATGCCCGTACTCGTCTGGCCAATGATGCCAAGGCTGCTAAGAAGGGTGGCGAGAGGCAGTTCAATGGTTTGGTTGATGTTTACAGAAAGACCCTGAAATCCGATGGTATTGCTGGGCTTTACCGTGGGTTCAACATCTCATGTGTTGGTATCATTGTGTATCGTGGTCTGTACTTTGGGATGTATGATTCATTGAAGCCGGTTCTTCTGACCGGAGGACTCCAGGTTAGTGCATATCTTTTTCCGTGCCTTGTAGTCAATGTATAATTTTGATATCCTTCTATCCCTATTTCTAAAGGAATTACAATTATTACCATTAAGATACAACAGTACCCAATTATCTTGCTGAGCTACAAATACCCCATTAAGGTAGTATTATGACTTCTCCTTGAGGTTTGCCTTAAGAAGTAGCCACATATTGGGGGTGCAATTTGTGAAAAAGAACACCTCACAAATTTCAATTTTGAACATAGCTGGTGGTTTCATTTGTAATCAACCCACCTCTCTTAAAAGTATTTCCTGTAGAATTGTAATTTTATCAGAGGTTTGCTGTGTATGTAAGTAAAACTAGTAAATTTCTTTGTATGATATGTGCAGTTCCGTTGATAATTTTAACTAGAGAGGAAAATAATAGTCCTCGAAAGGAGTCCCTTGTAATTGCCATTATCTTTCCCTTTGACTATTGTCGACTTTTGTAAATTGCCATAAACTCTTTGCACCTATTTGTTTCATTTATGCTGATTTGACTATTGTTGACATTATGTATTGACCAAGAATGTGTGCGTGTTGATGATTACAGGATAGTTTCTTTGCTAGCTTTGCCCTCGGTTGGCTCATCACAAATGGTGCTGGCCTGGCCTCCTACCCGATTGACACTGTGCGTAGAAGAATGATGATGACGTCTGGTGAGGCGGTCAAGTACAAGAGCTCTCTAGATGCATTTACTCAGATCCTCAAGAATGAGGGCACCAAGTCTTTGTTCAAGGGGGCCGGTGCCAATATCCTGCGTGCTGTGGCTGGTGCTGGTGTGTTGGCCGGTTACGACAAGCTTCAGGTGATTGTGTTTGGAAAGAAATACGGCTCTGGTGGGGCTTAAGTGAGCCTGTCCAGATTCCTTTCTTAAAGATAAAATTAGACGGTGATGAAAAAAGAAAAACAATTATTTTCTTTAATTGGAGAATTCATTCAAGGGGAGTTTTGCTTTGCTGGTTTTGAAATAATTTGGAACTTTTAAGAGGGTTTGGATCTGGTTACTACTGTTTTCTGTCCCTTTTTGATGTTTTTCATTCATGCTTTTTCTTGGTTCTTGGAAACTTGTCCTGGGAGAGGTTACTTTCAGTTTTGCTGACGGATTATTTATCATACATTCGCCCTGTTGTGCGGAAATTGAATTTTATACCATNTTTTTTTTTTTTTTTTTTTTTTTTTTTTTTTCGAAACGATAGAATTTATATTCCTTCAACAAAGGAGATTTTACAATGAAGAACGAAGGGGCACTCACCCCTATAAAAGCACTCAAAAAGATGGAATCGAGAGAGATGCTAACCGTAGCTCCCTAGACAAACAAAACCAAAAGGATTGAGTTTAGAAAATCCGGCAATGGCATGAGCATTGAGCCCGAATTGTTGACCCAACCCTTTACAAAACCAAACTTAATACTCCACTAGGAGAACACACTAAAACAAGAAAACACACACTAAAACAAGAAAATAGACACACACACCTAAACTAACTATAAATCACTACCTCCCGAACTACAACCAGCAACACACAACAAACCCAAACGGAACGAAGCCAACAACCACAAATCACAAGACCACAAATAGGGCCCAAAGCGCAACAGAATCGGACCCCGGAACTAAAAACTCCATGGAAACGGCTAGCTAGAACCGACGCCATATCTGAAAGCCCGAAGCCACTGCTCGATGGCGAAAGCAATAGCAGACACGAATGGATCGACTTCGAACAACGCTTGAGGACCAATCTTGCGCATCCTTAGGGAACTCGATCCGGCGGCGAAACCAGACGGACGGTCACCAACCTGAAGGAGACGGGGGCAAAGCCAGCCGGGCGAAGCTACGACCATGACACCGAAATCGTCTGGACCGAGGCAGAGGCATCAGGACAAGTCGGCGGCACTGAACCTGGCCCGAGAGAGGGCTGCTCGGCGCAAGCACCGTCGGCCCTCTCCTGCTCACAGCCGCGACCGGAGGCGCCACGAGGCGCGGCACAGGGAAGGCGGAAAGGCCACTAGCCTCAGGCCCAGACGAAGAAGAGCAGTAGGGTTGGGGCTGTGAGTCGCCGAAGGAAGAAGGGGGGGCGCGACTGAGGAGAGGGAGGAGAAGCTAGGCGGTGGCGGAAATTAGGGGAAGAAATTGGGTTTTCAACTGGGGTTGGCCCATCACTTATTTAATGTTATCTTAGATTTCTTCTGTTGATTACAGGGATTTTCATTTGATTCAGAAATAAAAGTTACTAGTATAATACCAGTGTACTACACAGGTGTCGAGTTAAAAAAAATATTATAAAGGTTTATTGCTAATAAAATTTTATTTAAAAATTTTGATGGATTAATGAATGAAAAAAAAGAGGAATAGACAGTGCAGAAAGTGATTTGTAAATCGTAATTTAGGAGAGAAATATGAGAAAAATTATAGGATGATAAGATTGCTATTTGCCAAATTAAGAAGGAAATTTGTACTAAGAGAAAAAAAATAACTAAATTAAATGTATATTTATCAAGTTTGAAAAAAAGTTATTTATGTCTATACCAAACTTGATTCCAAAGCAAAAAATTAATATACAAACAACATTCTGAAGCATAGATTTTTCCTATGTCAGTATCTGAAACGTGTGAGCCTGCCATTTAGGCTCAACACGTTTTGAATTAATATATAGGCAGGGATGCGAAAATGCTCTCCTACCCACGGTGGACACATGTTAATATGTCCACCGCTTATGTAGCATGCACACATTGATTGGATGAGATGATTTAACAATTACGTGGCGTGAAGTTTAATAGTCTAATTTCTCGTTTTTTGTAAAGTTACATATCAATTGGATGTTTTCTGTGCGTAATTCTTGTTACACTCAAAATTGCTGATCCTGCGAAATGCTTGCGCACAGAAGTGTTGATTTATGTGTTCTTTTGGCTCCCTTGTGTAGCCGATTGAGTCTTGTTTCACTGTGTGCTTATATTTTATGCACTCTACCATTATATCATCAAACATCAAAAGCATCATGGAACTAAATAGAAGATATGTTCTTTTGTACTATTATAAAATTACTTTCGGAAAATTTCAGTCGCCTAAATATCTTTGTATTATGTGTAACATTATATGTCAATATTATATATATCCACCAATTTTATGAGGCCAACAATTGGGANGATTTTTAGGGTTTCAAAAAACGTATTTTGGAAATACGTTGTATATTTTAATTTAAAAAAAAAGAAAATCTTATAAAACGTATATTGACAATACGTTTTACAATTAAATAGTTATAAAACGTATTCTAGTAATACGTTTTACAACTAAATATAAAATAATGTTATCTTCTTCTTCTCCATTCATTTGCGGGATCCATCCACACTTCTTTCTTTCCTCTATTCTGAAGCGCAGAGGCGGAAAAAAAAAAAAACTCGATCCAATCGCCACCCCTACGCGAACCGACAACAACAACAACACGAACCTCATTTCCGGTTAATTAATTTACACGAGGTATATTGGCTTATCTCAACTTTTGATATTGTTTAGACTTGTTGGGAGATTGTAATTGTTATAGTATGTTTGAATGTGGTGATGTTTGAAAATTGGGAATTGGGAATTGTTAATTGTTTATCGATTATGTGTGTGTGTTGAATTGGGGATTGAATTTTTTAATTTTGTAAATTATCAATTGTGTATGGGTTTGTTATTGTTGGGTTTAGGGTTTTTGAAATTAGGGTTAGAATTAAGGTTTTCAATTTATTCGAAATATATATGAATTGTATGTTATTGTTGAATTATGAGTATTATGGTTTTGGAGGGTTAATCGATTAGGAATATTTTTTTTTTTTTGGAGTAAAAATGGATTTAAAGAATAATTGAATTTTCTGGGTGTTGTATTAGACATTATGTGTTGGGAAGAATTGAATGTTTTTTTTGCAACAGTTATAAATGGCATATTGTAGTCCGTATTTTGTTAATTTGTATTGGCGATGTGCGAAGGAACAATTAAGAGATTTTGTTTCATTTATGGATAGTCCGGATGGTTCATTTGTTATTACGGGGAGGATATCATATGAACAATTGGCACATATGATTAATGAAAATTGTCGTTTTGGAGAAGGTTGGACAATTCAAGCGATTACTTTAATGTTTCGTCAACGTGATGGTTCGTGCACTGCCGGAAGACTCGATAACGATAGTGCTCTTGAGTGGATTTATTTATCTCCTTCTATGTCCGTTGTGTATTTGCATTTATCGTTGGAAGCAATTACACCGGTCACACAATTTGAGGATTTTACTCCTTATTATGGGGGAATGGATGAGGGCACGTCGACTTCTCATCTACGTAATTTTGGAGAAGGGACAAGCTCACCAATTAGAGAAAGGGCAAATGAGGACGGGGAAGAAAGTGACGAAGAGTTCGTACTCGATGAAGATGATTTCACAGACGAGACCTCAGAAACCGAATCAGATAGATCGGTAAATGAGGAGAGTGAAGTCGAGTTCATTGAAGAAGAACACCCCTTTCCTAGTGGTGGTACCGTGAGATGGGTGAATGTGAGCCGTCCAGGATAGATGAGGACGAGTATGCTATTCCACGTTGGAATGGCGACATTGAGACCATACGTTTGGGTATAGTTTTTCGGAGCAAGAAAGAAGCTCAAATGGCTCTGATGGCTTGGAAGGTCGATAGGTTGCGGGAGATTCGGATACATGATTCGAATCAAAGTCATACAAAGTGGTCTGCAGATCTAGTGAAGATCCGCCTTGTGTGTGGAAGGCTCGGGTGACTAAGTCCAGACTGGTTCATGAATTGTGGGAACTAACTGAATGGACTGATAGACACACTTGTATGCAACCGGTAGAGATAAATGACCACAGAAATGTAACCGCCCAAATGATTTCAAATCTCATTTGTAATAAGATTCGAAAGAAAGTGGAGTACGGTGTCAGCATGATCCAGGCTGATGTGAAACAGTGCTGGAAAGTGGATGTCAGCTACAAGAGGGCATGGCATGGAAGGAGAAAATCCATCGAGAGTGTGTATGACACTTGGGAATCGAATTTCGCAGAACTCCCTCAGTAAGCAAAAATTAATTATAAATATAGTATATTTATTTAATGTCTGTCGCTATGTTTATCTATTTATTATGAAACTGTTTTGTAATGTGTAGATATTTTGCCACGCTTCAAAGAACGAATCCCTCCACAGTTGTAGAGTGGGAATGGCAGGGTGGGGAAATAGCGCGACACCTTCGAGACAGACAATTCAAATTTGTATTTTGGGCATTTGGTCCTGCCATTCAAACTTTACAAAGGTGCTTGCCGGTTATTAGCGTCGATGGCACACATTTGCGTGGATCCTACAAGGGAAAATTGCTTGTGGCCGTAGCACAGACTGCGAATAAGCGGTTATTGCCGGTCGCGTATGCGCTTGTCGATGAAGAAAGCATAGACAGTTGGTCATTTTTCCTTAGGAATCTGCGGCAACATGTAGTCTTCCAGAGACGTATCTGCGTTCTTCCTGACAGGGATGGGGGCATACTCAGTACCATTGAATCATTAACAGATTGGCAAGAACCCGCTGCGTATCACCGGATTTGCCTTCGACACCTTCGAAGCAACGTGGTGACTAATTTCAGGAGTAAGAAAATTCGGACTTGGTTTTGGGAATTGGGTTCGTAGTTGTCGGAGCGAAAGTTTCGAGAGGCAGAACAACGACTGTTGGCATTGAATCCCGAGGCACACAATTACCTTTTTTCAAATTCCTTTGGAGAAGTGGACCCAGTTGAAAGATAAAAGACGCAGATGGGGCACATTGACAACGAATATGTCGGAGAGTTACAACAACGTGCTGAAATGGGTTAGATTCCTGCCGTGCAGAGCTTTGGTAGATGCCACATTGCATAAAACTCTGGATTTGTTTCAACAGGAACAAAACAAGTCCACGAGATGCAGGACTCCCATTGCTACGGAGCACTATAACGCATATTTGCAATTGGAGCAGACAGACGCCACTCATAATGTCCACGTTAGGGACGCCGACAGCTCCATGTACGAAGTGGAAACGGGCTTACGGGCTAGTGGAAGAGGGCAAAACAAGTAAGTATATGTTCTTTATTTTTTTTTTTTTTTTTTTTTTTTTTTTTTTTTTTTTTTTTTTTTTTT